CACTTGCCTGTACTTCAAAGAACAGAGGCCATGAAATAGTGAATATAAAAATAAAGCAGGCAACTCCCCCACCCCCAACTATACTGGAGTTCATTAATTTTGTTCTTTGCACTTCCCTCCAATCCTGGGGGACCTCTCCAGGTTCATTGTTGGTGGGATGTCTCCTGTCGTGCTGGGACCAGGTGGCAGGGATTAATCCTAGGACTATAAAACATGACCTCTTAAGTTCTTTGAGCTGCCTCTCCAGCCCTGGAATTGATTTTTTATTTTGAAGATTCAATTTCTTAATTAATTAGAAATTGAGTGCCTATTACTGGCTCTGTGCTCAGAAGTGCCCCCTACTGGTGCTCAGGGAGAACATATGTGATGCCTGGGATTCAAACTGGTCAGTGGAATGAAAGGCACGTGCTTTAACCCCTAATCTCTCTCTCTCTCTCTCTCTCTCTCTCTCTCTCTCTCTCTCTCTCTCTCTCTCTCTCTCTCTCCTCTCTCCTCTCTTTCTCTTACCCCCAAACTTTCTCAATGATTAAAATAAAGACAGATGGCCAATGGAGGAAGATCTTTGTACCTCACACCTGATTTTTTTTTAGGTCTAGAAAATTGCATACTGTGAAACGACTAATAAACAATTCTAGTTGGCAGCCATAAAACTAGTACATACAACCCCTTCCTCTCAAATGCCCAAGCAACAACCTCTAGCCAAAGACCTGAGAATGAATCCACTGAGGACTGTGTGCATCCAGGGTGACGAGGCTGGTGGACAGGAGAGAGCATCAGGCAGGGACCAGTGACCTGCGTCCTCAGGGCACTGCTGGGGATTGGGGGCCAGGGGTAAGAACACCATCCCTGAGAGGCTGATGCAAAGACCAGGACCAAAGAGTTGCTGCTTAGACCAGGAAAACCAGAGAAGGAGCCAAGCAGAGCCCACAGAGGCAGGTGACCGCCTTCCCAGGCAACTCCTGCATGCAAGAGAGGATGGCCATTTCCATTCTGACATCGACGGTGCATCCAAACTTCTAAAAAAGGGACTGTTCAGTGTTCCAATTTTAGGAATTTCAGAATTCTTCAAAAAGGAGTTGAAGTTTAATTGGCTTTCAGTGTAGGAAAAAGAGACCTTTATTTATTTATTTTTCCAGATATATACTTTACTACACAGTGTATACTCTGTGGTCCTGAAAGCTGTTATTCTCTTTGCCATGAAATGTGGGGTTGACTCTGGGTGTAGGAGGAGGTGGGGGAGAAGCTGACTTTATAACACGACCTTTTAAGATGTGAGGATAAGAGTCTCCACCAAAAACAAAACAAAAGCAACCCTATAAAAATAGTCTCCGGCTTAAAAAAAAATTCAGCAAACAGGACACATTTAAGTCATTTCTTTATATCAAGCTGTCTGCTTTTGAAAGATGGAATTACCTCTACAGTTGGTTATTTTTACCACAAATTAAAGAGACAGAGCTATATTTCTCTCAGATTTTTTGAGTCATTATACAAAAATGTTTTGTAAAGAGTCGCTAGAAGCAAAACACCTAAACTGGAAGATATATTAGATATATTAATATCCTTCAGGGTATAACTATTTTTCTAAGCGCTGAACAGGCAGCGAACAAAAAAGCAGAAGTTCACTGTGACCTAGAGAAAGTAAGGGAAGTGATTCATTAAAACCAAGCATCATAAGCTATAGAGAGAGCAAACGACCCAAACATCCTTCTGCTAATTGGAAAGCAGACACGGGCCCCTGAAACCCACATCATGGCTCATTGAGATATTAATGTGGTAAGCTCTGATATTTTTCCCCGGGAAGCAGTACCTTCTTTGTTCACATTTCTAATGTTCTCTCTTGCTTCTTCTTTTGTTATTCAGTCACTGTCTCAGAAATGAGAAATCTCAAGGAGCTACAAGCTTGAAGGGGCTGAAGCGAGAAGGAACATTGCAGGTAATTCTCACTTTAGCGAACCACTCTGAGCAATTCAACCCTGGTAAGAAAGCTCACTCTCTTCCCAAAGGCCCAGGCATTAAGACTGTGATTAGCTTCTCATCTTTGGATTTGATTACCTTCCTCCTGGTTAAGGAGTTGGTTAATTCATTCCGCAGAATTTTGCTACCTCCCAGGCAAAACAATACCAGGACTCTGACAAATCTTTCCTAAACAGCCTCTGTGCAGATCCATAGGCAAAATAATTATAGGCACCATTATGTGTTGCTGGCCACAGGATAACATCAAGATTTAATAAGCATTTCCTCTATAGAGGCCTGAAATACTGAATCCTGTAAGAACTGTAAGTACTCATTATTTTAAAAATACTGTATATTCTAACAACTCTTTAGAAAAAAAATGCCCAAACTACTCTCATTAACGAAGCTAGGCATTGTGTCACACATAAATTATATGGGTTATTTAATATGATGGAATTTAAATATTTTGGAATGACAGTAATGGTGCCTGAAAATAACAAACCTATTGATAGGAAATGACTTGAGGTGTTGGAAGAGATTATTTGACATAGAACGTCCAAGAAATTTAATATATATATGATTATTCCCAGAGGTAAGAAGCCATAACTTGGGCCTGGAGCAATAGGACAGCGGGGAGGGTGTTTGTCTTGCCCACAGCCAAACTGGATTTGATCCCTGGTATCCCATATGGTCCCTCTGAGCATCTTCAGGAGTAATTCCTGAGTGCAGAGTCAGGAGTAACCCCTGAGCATTGCTGGGTGTGACCGAAAAAGCTAAAATAAAATAAATTAAAAAAAATAAACCATAACTTTTAAGTGTTTAAAAAAACCTTTTTAACAAAATATATTTTTTATTCTATCCAAGGCCTCACACATGCAAAGCAATTGCTCTGCTGTAAGCTATATCCAAGCCCCCTTCTCCTGTTTCTTAGTAAGCATCTGTCTTGCTGCAGGATGAAAGCCTTGACTGAACTTGGCTCTAGCCTCAGGTGAACCTGTGAAGATACTGGCTCATCTGAACTTACTCTCTGTGGTATTAGCAAGACTACTGCAATCCGTATAGACATGGCACTGTGAACTGCCTTGAAATCAGCACCCTACCTGCAAACGAGAACCACTCCTTTAGAACAGGGCTTCTGACACTGTCTCCACCCAGAAAATGCATCACGGACAAGCACTGCCAGAAACACCTCTGATTTATGATGCCAGTTATTTTTAATGATTTTTGGATTGTTGAATGTTCAGAAATCTTTTTCTGTTGCAAAATTTTTCATGTGTCCCACATGTAGATACCTAGCCAATATAGGCTCATGAACCCCAGTTTAAGATGCCAGGGACAACAGAAATAGCACAACAGGTAGGGCACTTGCCTTGCACACCACAGCTGACCCAGGTTCATTTACTGGAATCCCATGTGGTCCCCCAAGTACCACCAGGAGTGATTCCTGAGCAAGAGGCAGGAGTGAGCCCTGAGTGTTGCCAAGTGTGACTCAAAAACTAAACCAACAAACAAGAAGACTAAGTGAAAAGAAAATATTAATCAGGGCAAAAGTTTGGAGGACTCCTTTCCCTGGGACACTGTGTCATCTTCCCCTGCTGAATATTTCTGGAGCCTCTGTTATTGCTTGAATCGGATTTCTGCCGCACCGCTCCCCCCACCCCCCACCCTGGAAGGGGAGTTCTCCAAGGGCGGGATTCTACACTTGGGTTGGCTGCTCTGCTACCAGCAACAGCACTCAACAGAACTGTTGGCACTTACATAAAGAGGGGGAGGTAGGAAGGGAGAGCCTGACAGTGAAGAGTGAGAGGCAGTAGATGAATGAAGTAGATGGATGCGCAGAATCTACTTTTAGCTGGAAGGAACTTCAGAAGTCTCCTTTTGGGCAGGAGACTGACAGCCTGGAAGGACTGGCAATTGGGCCCGGTCCACACAGGCGAGTCACAGAATTGAGACTTCAACTGTGTCACTGAATGGGAGGCCCGTGGACGTCCTGTAATATCCACTGATAGGCAGAGACCATGGAGAACTTCACTTGACAGCCCTCAGCGGGCCATAGACCTCTGAAAAGAAAGAGACAGCACTGGAGGCTTCCTTCAGACACCCAGAATCAATGCAGAAAAGCAAAGCAAGAAAAATGGTGGAAGAAAACTTTTAAAGGAGAGGGACAGATATAGAATGACTCTACTCATTTGTGGCATTAAAAAAACAGTATATGACTAACACCCAAGGACAGTAGAAACAAGGGACAGGAGGATTGGTCCATGGTTGAAAGCCTGCCTCATGGCTGGAGAGAGAGGGCAGCTGAGATAGAGAATGGACCACTATGACAATGATGGCTGAAAGGAATCACTCTGGATGGGAGATGTGTGCTGAAAGTGGGCAAAGGACCAAACATAGATGGCCTCTCAGTATCTGTATTGCAAACCATAATGCCCAAAAGGAGAGAGACAGAGAGAGAGAGAGAGAGAGAGAGAGAGAGAGAGAGAGAGAGAGAGAGAAAAGAAAAGTGCCTACCATAGAGGCAGGCTGAAAGATGGTGGTAGTAGGGATACGGAGAATATTGGTGGTGGGAAATGTACACTGGGAGAGGGATGGGTGATGGAACACTGTATGACTGAAACCAGATCATGAACGCTTTGTTACGGTATCTCAATTTAAAAAAAGAAAGAAAAAATAAAAGAAAAAGAGAGAAAGAGAGAGAGAGAGAAAGAAAGAAAGAAAGAAAGAAAGAAAGAAAGAAAGAAAGAAAGAAAGAAAAAACTTTTCTGACTAGTGATGTTGGAGGTAAAAATAAGTTCATTGTGGTGGCTGGGGAGAAAGTGTAAAGGGCTGTAGGTGACACGCTTTGCTTGCTGGAGCTCCAAGTTTGATCCCTGGTACCACATGGTTTCCCAGACACTGCTAAGAGCAACCATTCCTCTCACATGCACCCCTCTCTTCCGCCCCCTCAGCCCAAGCATCAAGCCTGGAATAGCCCATGAGCACCAGTGGGTGTGGATCACAAACCAATAAACCCTAGTTTATTACTGATGAGAAGAACAACCTACCTCCGAGGACCATGCCAGCCTGGCAGCACTTTCTGAGACGACATGCAGGGCAGTTTTTCCTGCGTATTTTATCCACGATACAATCGTTTCTTCCAGCGCATAAGTAATTATGCTGCCCTATAAAAATGAAAATTAAAGTCATTTTCAATATCTAATTTCTGGGAAATTTACACCTTGAGGACTGAAAAGGGGTAGGAGCAGAGAGGCAAGTGGATAACGAGGAGCAAGAGGCATGTCCAGCTCTGCGGTGTCCATCATCTACGCCTGCCTTCACAGGCCCGAGTGAGGGCCACACAGATTAGACACCAGCTCCAGGAGTCGTCATGCACCTACAAGAGGTCTCCTGAGGCCAGAACCTCTGCCACTGCAAGATTATTCACATGTGGCACTTGTGAGCATTGGCTGTGAAAGACAATCAAGGTCTAATGAAGCCTTTGTCTCTAACATCTAACCCTCCAAGGAAAACAGCAACAGCTGATAAAATCAGAGAGGGCTCTCCTTTGATGAAGCCTATTCCTTTAACTCTGCAGAAAAATGCTGGACCTGGGTCACTCAGGTCCTTGTGTTCTTCTACTAGTGCTCCTGATCTTGTTTAGGAATCCTAGGTGTCAGATTTTCCTCTTAATAGTTTCAAAGCTTCCTTTCTAGGCCCACCAAGTTAGTATATACTTTCTGATTTGACTCTGGATGATGATGATGATGATGATGATGATTTGGTTTTGAGTACACATTCAGTGGTGCTTAGGGCCAACCTCTGGCTCAGCACTCAGGGTTCCCTCCTGGCAGATTCAGAGAACCCCATGGGGTGTGAGGATTGAACCTGGGTCAGTTGCATGCAAGACAAATGCCTTATCTACTGTATCACTCCAGCTTCTCTGGTTTATTATTATTATTTTTTACTACAAGTTAATTTGCAGGATACAGGAGTGACAGTGGGAAGTCTATACCTATCTGCCTATCCATCTGTCATTTATATTTCTAGATCCTACACTGATTTATCATGAGAGACCGAAAACAGGGAGTAAGATTTTCCAGTGCTTAAAGAATAAACCTAAACACAGTGCACAAAGGATGTCATTGGTGTCTTCTTACTCTCTATTCCACCATCACACATTGCCAGAAAAAATCATTTGTTAAGATTATTAGCAACATTCTCTTTTGTGTCTGAAAGAAAAATTCCTACTCATCAGTCTCTCAGTGTGTTCTGAAGCTATTCCTTCCCACCTGCTTTCAAGGTTCTCCCTATCGATTTCTCTTGAAATCATTAGCCTCTCCCTCCCCAACTGCTGTCCTACTTTAAACTTTTTTTCATCCCTCAAAATTCCAGCATCGAGAAATAAAACCTGCCTCAGGCTACATCTTCCCCAACTCCATTCCTTTATTTGTTATCCAAGCTGGTGCTTGAAATCTCTCATTACCCAATTTTCTTTTTCCTCAAGTATACTGTAATTTGGTTTGTACACTCACTATTTCTATAAAGTGGTTTGAGGTCAGCAGAGATTTCTTCACTCCCCCAAAGTACTGTGGATTCTTTGTTGACTTTGTATATAATCTGTTCCTGGGGCTTTCCCCTGCTTTGTTTTTTGGGGTGAGGGGAAGAAAACTCTTCTGAGTCTTCATCTTTTCGACAATTCCCTGGAGCTCCCTTTGCTAGTCCCTCTCCACATTCCTGTTCCTGTATGTTCTCCAATCTACACACCTGGTTCATCACATAATTTTTATTGTGGCTCTAAAAGCTCACCTTGAGCTCTGCCCTTCCAACCATCTCTATAAATACTTCAAGTTCAATGTATAAAAGAGCATAGAGGTTATCTGTTTAAACTTCACAGATTTCATTATTAGGGGAAAATAGCAACAAATTAAGGAAATTCAAAACATAAAATCACCTACACTCTCCTTACACTGCAACTATTTTCCTGTTTCATTTTGCTATATATAAATGCAGAAATTAGATAATACCTGTTAGTGTTTGCTAAGTGAATGTTTATACCCTTCTCATTTTTTAAAATAAAACTCTCATTCAACAAGTGTTTATTGAGTGTTTACCCAACACTGTCTAATAATCCCTTTCTCTCCTAACATAAATACCATCTTAATTGTTGCTTAAATATACTATATTGTGGAAGAGCACAGGTAATGCTTGGTTATAACCCAGATCTTCAGCTTGAAAATATTAGCTCATTTAATTATCACAGCAACCTCAGGAGGTAATTATTAGTCCAATTTTATTGGTAACTCAGGCACAGAGAAGTTAAGTAATATGCTTACTCTAGACTTTATAGTTCAGTAAACCTGAGAAATTATATTGAGTTAAAAATGGGAATGATACTCCTGGGAATATATCCCAGAGAGGCAAAAATGTATAGTCGAAGTGATATCTGCACTTGTTTGTTCATTGCAGCACTCTTTACAATAGCCAGAATCTGGAGAAAACCTGAGTGCCCCAAAACAGATGACTGGTTAAAAAAACTTTGGTACATATACACAATGGAGTACTATGTAGCTGTTAGAAAAGATGAAGTCATGAAATTTACATACAAGTGGCACTACATGGAAAGTATCATGCTAAGCGAAATGAGTCAAAAAGAGAGAGATAGACATAGAAAGATTGCATTCATCAGGGGGATATTAAAGTAAAAGTAAAGTAAAGGCCCTCCCATTGATCATCGATTTGCTTGAGCAGGCCCAGTAATGTCTCCATTGGAGACTTTGTTGTTACTGTGTTTGGCATATCATACTCTCGGTAGCTTGCCAGGCTCTCCAAGAGGGGCAGAGGAATCGAACTCGGGTCGGCCATGTTGACTGCGTGCAAGGCAAACGCCCTCAGTAACGAAATAGGAGATTAATACCCAAGAATAGCTGAGATCAATACCAGGAGGATTACTCCATAGCTTAGAGGTCAGCCGGGCATTCTAGGGGAAAGGGCAGCTCAGATAGAGAAGGAATCACCAAATAAAGGGTGTTTGGAGGATTCTCCCAGGAGGGGAGATGCATGTCGAAAGTAGACTATGGACTGAACATGATTGTCAATCAATGCCTCTTTTTCAGACCACAACACCCAAAAGGAGAGAGAGAACAAAAGGAAATGCCCTGCCACAGAGGCAGGGTGGGATGGGGGGATAGGTGTGGGAGGGATACTGGGGTCCATGGTGGTGGAAAATGGGCACTGGTGGAGGGATGGGTATTTGATCATTGTATAATCGAAACCCAAGCACAAAAATTTGTAAATCTACAACTATACCTCATGGTGTTTCACTGATAAAAAAAAAGGGAAAAATGGGGATGATGGAACAGCGCTACTTAAGTTCTCATTTCAAGTTCATTATCTACTAGCTGGGTTACTTTTGGCAGGTAAAATGAAGATAGGATTAATACCTAGGTACCTAGGGTTGCACCTAAGGATTAACTGAGCTTGGAGGTGGGTGGGCTCTAGCAGTAGTATAGTGGGGAGGGCACTTGCCTTGCACATGGCCAACCTGGGTTCATTCCCCATCATCCCATATGGTCCCCGATCACTGCCAGGCAGGAATTAATTCCTGAGTGCAGATCCAGAAATAATCCCTGAACATTGTTGGGTGTGACCCCAAAACAAAGACAGAAACAAAATGAAACAGAATAAAACAAAACAAATGAGCTTATGTAAGAGGTTAGAATAGTTACACATAACAAATAGCTAGTGAGAGCTAGTATGATTATAATGATCACATTCCCAATTCTTAAATACAGTCATAGTTGTCTCAGATGTTTCCCAATAATTCTACAACTAATTGATTTAGTCCATTATTTTGAAAACAACTAAAATATATTCTTTTCTTAAATATGAATAAAAGCAGCAAGTATACAGCACTGATATATTCTTCCTAAAAGGCTCTACCAGCTAGAACTTAGCCAACAATAGATGAGTTGCAGTAGGAAATCCATGAAGGAAGGAGTCTGGTATGAGAAATTGATGATGGATAGTAAAATATTTTTACAATTATTTTAGCACAAATGAAATAGTTGCCAAATAGAATGCAATTATTATAGTTAAGTAGGTGGGGGGACGGGCAGCAACAACAGCACAGCGGGCAAGGTGTTTGCCTTGCATGCAGCCAACCCGGGTTTGATTCCTCCATCCCTCTCGGAGAGCCCAGCAAGCTACCGAGAGTATACTGCCCGCATGGCAGAGCCTGGCAAGCTCCCTGTGGCATATTCAATATGCCAAAAACTGTAACAAGTCTCACCAAAATGGAGACATTACTGGAGCCTGCTCCAGCAAATCAATGAACAACAGGAGAACAGTGCTACAGTGATACAGGTGGGGGAAACTGAGCATTTCACAATGTCATGTCATGAGGGGGAGGGAAAATGATTCTTCACACATTGACACCTCTCATATTTTGTATCACCTGCAGGGAAACAATGTAAATCCTGCAAAAAGTATGCAAGATGAATTTAATACTTAATACTGAGGATTTGCAGGTCTTTTTTGTTTTTGAATCACATCCTTTGGTGTTCATGAGTCACTCCTGAAGGATCTCAGGGATGATGAGATGCCAGGGATTGAACCTTGTGTTTCTTCATGAAAAACATGCATTTCCACCCTTTGGAAATCTTCTTGGTTCTCAACAATGAAGATTTGGGGTGAAAGCCTTTCAAAAAGCATTCAGGGGAACTGTGGGCCACTCCTGGAGATAGTAAGCTCACCAAGCCAACAATTCAATGCTTGAGTCCACAGTGCTTGGGAATCACCAGTGAGCCTGAGAATCAAGAAATTGCCTGACCTAGGCATTGAACTGCTAGCCCAATGGGTTGTGGATTGCCAGACATTACCCCTGACCTCACAGAGCACTTCCTAGGAGGCTACTCCCCCACAAAAAATTAAATAAAATAAAAAGAACCAGGGCTCAAGAAATGTCTGGCCCAGGGCTGGGGCAGAAAAGGTCCCAGTTGAACCTGGGATACTTTATTGTGACAGAGTTTGATGATGTTTGGGATTAATGAAACAGGGTCCAAGTCACTCTGACCAGAGATAAGGCGATATGAACATCAAAAAGAATGTAGTTTAAGTGATGAAAGTCACAGTGACTGTATAAAAAGCCATGAGTCATAATGATATGTAAGATATAAAAGAAGGA